TGCTTGCGGGGGGGGGGCAGCCCATGGGCTGCGGGATGGAAGGGGGGTCCCTGGGGGCCACCGGTGTCACCCCACTCTCATCCCCACTGTCACCCCGCTGTCATCCCCCTCTCATCCCCACTGTCACCCCACTCTCGTCCCCACTGTCACCCTGCTGCCATCCCACTGTCACCCCGCTCGCGTCCCCACTGTCACCCCACTCTCATCCCCACTCATCTCCCTCTCGTCCCCACTATCACCCCACTGTCACCCCTCTCATCCCTGCTGTCACCCCCTCTCGTCCCCGCTGTCACCCCTCTCGTCCCTGCTGTCACCCCTCTTATCCCCACTGTCACCCCTCTCATCCCCGCTGTCACTCTGCTGTCACCCCCTCTTGTCCCCGCTGTCCCCCCACTCATCCCCGCTGTCACTCTGCTGTCACCCCCTCTTGTCCCCGCTGTCCCCCCACTCATCCCCGCTGTCACTCTGCTGTCACCCCCTCTTGTCCCCGCTGTCCCCCCACTCATCCCCGCTGTCACTCTGCTGTCACCCCCTCTTGTCCCCGCTGTCCCCCCACTCATCCCCGCTGTCACTCTGCTGTCACCCCCTCTTGTCCCCGCTGTCCCCCCACTCATCCCCGCTGTCACTCTGCTGTCACCCCCTCTTGTCCCCGCTGTCCCCCCACTCATCCCCGCTGTCACTCTGCTGTCACCCCCTCTTGTCCCCGCTGTCCCCCCACTCATCCCCGCTGTCACTCTGCTGTCACCCCCTCTTGTCCCCGCTGTCCCCCCACTCATCCCCGCTGTCACTCTGCTGTCACCCCCTCTTGTCCCCGCTGTCCCCCCACTCATCCCCGCTGTCACTCTGCTGTCACCCCCTCTTGTCCCCGCTGTCCCCCCACTCATCCCCGCTGTCACTCTGCTGTCACCCCCTCTTGTCCCCGCTGTCCCCCCACTCATCCCCGCTGTCACTCTGCTGTCACCCCCTCTTGTCCCCGCTGTCCCCCCACTCATCCCCGCTGTCACTCTGCTGTCACCCCCTCTTGTCCCCGCTGTCCCCCCACTCATCCCCGCTGTCACTCTGCTGTCACCCCCTCTTGTCCCCGCTGTCCCCCCACTCATCCCCGCTGTCACTCTGCTGTCACCCCCTCTTGTCCCCGCTGTCCCCCCACTCATCCCCGCTGTCACTCTGCTGTCACCCCCTCTTGTCCCCGCTGTCCCCCCACTCATCCCCGCTGTCACTCTGCTGTCACCCCCTCTTGTCCCCGCTGTCCCCCCACTCATCCCCGCTGTCACTCTGCTGTCACCCCCTCTTGTCCCCGCTGTCCCCCCACTCATCCCCGCTGTCACTCTGCTGTCACCCCCTCTTGTCCCCGCTGTCCCCCCACTCATCCCCGCTGTCACTCTGCTGTCACCCCCTCTTGTCCCCGCTGTCCCCCCACTCATCCCCGCTGTCACTCTGCTGTCACCCCCTCTTGTCCCCGCTGTCCCCCCACTCATCCCCGCTGTCACTCTGCTGTCACCCCCTCTTGTCCCCGCTGTCCCCCCACTCATCCCCGCTGTCACTCTGCTGTCACCCCCTCTTGTCCCCGCTGTCCCCCCACTCATCCCCGCTGTCACTCTGCTGTCACCCCCTCTTGTCCCCGCTGTCCCCCCACTCATCCCCGCTGTCACTCTGCTGTCACCCCCTCTTGTCCCCGCTGTCCCCCCACTCATCCCCGCTGTCACTCTGCTGTCACCCCCTCTTGTCCCCGCTGTCCCCCCACTCATCCCCGCTGTCACTCTGCTGTCACCCCCTCTTGTCCCCGCTGTCACCCCGCTGTCACCCTGGGGGTGAGGCTTTGGGTGCTGGGTACCCAGTATGGGGTGCTGGGGTTTGGATGCTGGGTGCCCAGCCTGGGGTGCTGCGTTTTGGGTGCCGGTTGCAAAGCACAGGGTTCCTGGTGCGAGTTTTTGGGTGCCACCTGCATGCGGGGGGGGCGCAGCCCATGGGCTGCGGGATGGAAGGGGGGTCCCTGGGGGCCACCGGTGTCACCCCACTCTCATCCCCACTGTCACCCCACTCTCGTCCCCACTGTCACCCTGCTGCCATCCCACTGTCACCCCGCTCGCGTCCCCACTGTCACCCCACTCTCATCCCCACTCATCTCCCTCTCGTCCCCACTATCACCCCACTGTCACCCCTCTCATCCCTGCTGTCACCCCCTCTCGTAC